CCTGTGGATTTCACAAGAGAGCATTGGATCCCCTGGAACTGCAGGCTGTGGTGAGCCACCATGTGGTGCTAGGAATTGAACCCTGATCCTCTCTGTAAGAGAAGCCAGTGCTCATAACCACTGAGCCAGCTCTCTAGCCCCTCATCTCACTTCTTAAAACTAAAATCATACATAAAAAATAAAACCAATCCTGAGCACTAAATTGAAGGGTTGTACTATTGTGAGAATTGCCAATATGGAGCCAGGTAAAAATATAAGGGTATGTAATAGGGAAAAGCCTTACTTACAGAGCGACCTAGCCAGCAGGCAGGGCAGCAGTAAGTACAGCAAGCCAAAAATGAAACGGAAGAAGGGGCTGCCCATGAGAGTGCCCCTCACTCTTAAACCTTCCCTACATCACCCTGACCACACCCTCGAAGGCATGGCCAGGCACACCTATAGCCAGTCAGCCCCTAGCAGGCATGGCTACAGTGTCCCCTCCAGTTGTACCAGTCATATTTTCTTATTACTTAAAAAATGCACAAATCTACACCTAAAAAGAGTTTTCACATGATCATCTTTAAATATTTGCACCACCAAATTGTAGAAACAGCCTAGATGTCACCAGTGGATGAACGGGTAATGTGGTATGTATGGACAATGGCGTTTTACTCAGTCATAAAGATGGGTGAAATCATATCATTTGCAAGGAAACATATGGCCAGTCTCATAAAAACAAACATTGGTTGTCTTCTCTCATATGTGGAGTCTAGAGAAAAGAAGAGACGAGGATTATGAAACTAAAAGGGATGTAGAAGAAGGAGGAGGAGGAAGTGAGAAAAAGAAGGGAAAAGACTAACAGGGAGGTGGATATAAACCAGCCAAGTGCATTACATCCAAGAGAGTATCATGATGCAACCCCTTGCATGATTCCCTAGCATTGTATTTTAAAATGTATTTTTTAAAAGACCATAAAATACCACTTTCAGAAAGAGAGCCAACTGAAGTTATCTTACCCTGCAGATGGGGACTTACTGCAAACCTTCGTCTTTGCTCTGAGAAGCCGCCTGGGAATGCTATAGCCACTGACTGACCATTGGAGTGAGTTGTCCTGTCCAAGGTAAGCGGCAGATGCTTGTGCCAGGGATCCAGAGCAGGGCTATGCAGAGCAGGGCCATGCAGACATGTCTGCTTTGTAACTCTGAAGCCAGCCTCCAGGCTCCCATTTTGACTTCTGGATAGCAGATGCTGCAAGCCAAGGAGCAGCACACCCTCCATTCCCGTGCTGTGGGAGGAGAGCCTCAGCCTTTACAGAGAAGGGGAGCTGTTTTGTGCCTTCACAAGTAACAAGCCTTCCCACAGAGGAACTGGGTGGAACTGAGTAGAGATGGTAGCATAAACAAGGGTAGCTCCATATTCGGGAGACACATCTTTGGTTGACCATAGAGCAAGTTCAAAAGGCTCATGACCACCATCTGTCTCTGTGGAGTCCCCTAAAGTAGACAGAGTTTTAAATAAAAGTCATTCACCAACTATAAAATTGGAGATTTTTTTTAACTGAAACCCAGGTCTTTGACCACCCTGTTTAAAACTCCAAGCTCCTCCTGTCATGGCTGCATCTCCATGGATCACTTCCTGGCATTTTATGGGTTGTGTGGTTGGTTGCTGGCTTTAGCACTGCCCAGCTCTCCTTCCCTACCCCAGGATGCAAACTCCAGGAAAAAAAGAGATTTTTTTCATTTTAAATACTTCAAAATCTTAGGCCATGTCTAGCACACAGTAAGAGGAACTACGGAAAGTCCTAATGAATGACTGTAGAAGATGTGCCCCGCACTATCGTCTGTTCCGGGGTCTCATTGTCTATCTGTCAGAGGGTCAGATAGCCAGGCCTGAGCCCTAGTGGGCCTCAGGTTCATTCACTCTTAACCTGCACAGGACACTCCTCCCCATGCCCTCCCCCTGGGTTGTGAGTAGGTCCTACTCACCTGAATTTGTAGCAAACCTCAAGTAGCAAGAGGCCTGAACATACCTGTTTTGAGCAAACCTACAGAAGAGGTTCACCTTGCCTCTAGAGATGCACTGGACAGGAACACCAGGACAAGCTTTGTGCTCAGGGTAGTGGTGTTTGCCCAAGAGCATCTGTCTCTCTCTCTCTCTCTCTCTCTCTCTCTCTCTCTCTCTCTCTCTCTCTCTCTCTCTCTCTCTCTCTCTCTCTCTCTCTCTCTCTCTCTCTCTCTCTCTCTCTCTCTCTCTCTCTCTCTCTCTCTCTCTCTCTCTCTCTCTCTCTCTCTCTCTCTCTCTCTCTCTCTCTCTCTCTCTCTCTCTCTCTCTCTCTCTCTCTCTCTCTCTCTCTCTCTCTGTCTCTCTCTCTCTCTCTGTCTGTCTGTCTGTATGTCTGTCTCTGTCTCTGTCTCTCTGTGTGTGTGTGTGTGTGTGTGTGTGTGTGTCTGTCTGTCTGTCTGTCTCTGTCTCTGTCTCT